TGACACAGTTGTATCAAGTGTACTGGGGAAGAAGTGTGAAGGTTCTTAGTATTGTGGTTTGCACAATCTATCATGGGCAGTTCCCCATACTACACTATACGTACTGATTGGGAAAGCTTACAGGCCACAAAGTTAAAAAAAATTCAAAGGAGCCACTTGGCTCCTAAATTATTTTTTCAAGGAGCCAAATAGAATTTCAAGGAGCCAAGACAAAATGTAAGGAGCCAAAAGTAATGACTTGTAATTTAACTGCATAACAAAAAAAAAAAATCCATTAGTTTGAATAATCAGTTTTAAATCATGAACAACAACTGTTGACGTGTTGTTGAAGCTTTTGAGTTTTTCAGACAAACAAGCTTTAGAACATTGTGTCAGTAACATCATCTGACAGTTTACCGGTGCCAGTTGCAGGTTTTGGTTCATCGAACGTGTCGATAGACGACGAAACTTCCGTGTCAGCTTCGCCATTCAAAGCATTCCGTATTATCTTGAGTATACTGCGCATTTATTTCCAAAAAAACACAGCTGTGTAGAAGGGGGTGCGCATTATACACGAAATAATGAGTTTTGATGTTTTTCACCCATGGAAAGACATTACCGTGAGAACGTAACACCGGAAATACCATGTCAACAAATCCATACTGAAGTACGCAAACAAATCATGTAATTACACTGTCTGACTATAAAAAGTGTTCTTTGTATATCTGGACTTATGTTAGTAACTTATTTCATTAATTTTATTCAAAATTACTTTTAATATTGTTTTAATTTATTTCGGCGAAATCGTGTGTGAAGCGATCGGAAGATCTAACAAACGGTTATTAAGAGAAACCACGGTCAGATTACCGCTATTGATGCCTTGAAACGAACTTTCGTTGACAGAGAATGGATACATTTGTCATAAATGCCATACTTTGACTCGTTAAAGGTCATATTTGTTTTTGTTGGACGATTCTATGTCAACACGTAATTCACGCGATCACGTGCACGGGAGCCTTGACGGTGACTGGTCAGACTGTGTGTTCCATGTAAAACCATGTAATACCCGGTAATATATAGCAATCAGCTGCTTCGCTTACGCTTAGGGTTATTATTATTTCAAATATGTTTGGTAAAAGCTGCATCTAAATTAACAAGATATTGGAATATATTATTCCTGATAAAAAGAAGAAGTTTCAGATACATTTTTTGCCGATCCTTGCATTAAAACCCTGTAAAGTTATATCATTGGGTGTGACTTGACTGAATCACCGGTAAATTCCAAGAAATTGTGTGTACAGCTGATTGCTGTGTCCGGCTTAGTTTACGAGAAGATACACGTGGTAATCTTAATCCCTGGATATAAAACAATGCCTAGCAGAACAAAAAAATACAATTTAAACGGTAAATCAACATGTCTGGTGATTTTTTATCTATGTGTTTATCCCTTTCAACACCGTAGGCCGGTTTTCCGGCCAAGCCGTAGTCACGTCAAAATAGTATATATTTGTATGGACCTACCTATAATATCATTCATTTATTAAATCTATCACATTTCACAATGTCTGAAATACGTATTCCATATCAATTTATCATTTTTTTATCAATAAATAAAAAAATTATTCACTATTTCCCGCGATGTTATTGAAAATATAATTCTCGGACACACATTTCAACAATGGGTCCACATCGAACATGTCAAAGAGCAAAATAAAGTCGTTTTAAGCAAATATTTGATATATTATACAAAGTAATAAATAAATTCAACAAAAATATATCTAAAAGTAATCAAACTTACATCTAAGTTATTATTTCCATCTTTTCGTGCGATCGCATGTAATGTAAGTCAAATGACATCTCAGCTTTCGTCGCCTTAAATTCTCGGCTCGGACACGATGTTTAATGCAAAAATATATGCATGAAAAATCTGTCACAGCTCGTAACCTAGCACGATAGATTCACGAAGTTCCATATTTTTAATATATATATATCGTGATTTCCTGCCTTTTAGTTCAGAATAACATGATTTAACAAAAATCTTTCGCCAACTTCTGAAATTTATCAAACACGAGCTTGGTATCACCGCTGAAATTTGATTGGCTGCCTGCCTTACAAGTAGTTAGAAATGTAGACAGTGATAGTAATTTCCAATATTACTTGCCTCCGGACAAGTTAAAGTAAGTGATTTTGTTGCCCAACCTCGTATTTCTACTTTCCCCGAGAGTCGGGAAATGGCAAATTTCCACCCCTGTTTCCCCCCCCCCCCCCCAAAAAATAAATAAAAATAAATACTGAATCTGCTAGAGAGGGGTGCGCACTATACTAAAGAAAATACGGTATTCATCATTTGCCGATTGACAACGATTTGTTGTTGTTTTGACTTGCGCAAATATAGAAAAATACTTCGTGTTTTTGAACGGCGAAACGACCGCCTTAGCTGTCACCTGGGCGGATGTCGTACAGCGCATGCGTGGGTACTAAACTCTTAACATCGTTAGTGCATTACTTAATAACGGAAAGTGCTTCCTTCATTCCAGGTATGGAGCTTCATGTCGAAAGCGAAAACAGAACACATGGCCAACAGTGATCTTGTCGATGTTATTATGTTCTGATATCGAATTTTTTCACCGAAGTTACGCACTTATATTAAAAACGATCTTTTTTAATATCTTATGACAAGAGATATTTAGTCGCCAAACTTAATTAAAGACAAGGAGCCAGTTGGCGACTGACATGAAAATACCAGTCGCAAAATACAAAACTAGATCGCCATGGCGACCAATTTAGTCGCAACTTTGTGGCCTGGCTTACAATGGTGCAATGGTGTTCAAGGTTAATCCGGACTTGAGAGTGTCAACGACAATGGTTTCTTGTACCCGAGTTTCCATCTTCCCAATGCAAGGGAGTTAACTGACTCTAAAAGTCCAGTTTCCACCCTTGCTGAAATAGGCTGGAATTATGGAGTTTTATTTTTTGCCTGGACTAACAAGTCTATGCATAGTCCTATCAAAATCGTGTAACGAAATTGACATCCAGTTCGTAAATTGCCATGCAGATTTTAGTCAATTGCAGGATTTGCAAAGCATGTGTACCACCAAGTTGCAAGTGATATAAGAGGCATCATTAAACAGTATATCATGTGACTAACCACAGGTCCAGGTAGTCCAGTTGGTACCCGGGTCCTACCCACAACCCATCCGACAAGAGTACACGAGTTACCAGTCCCAGCCCTATCTTTTAATATGCCAAGTCACATGCACCTGATAAAACACCTCATTTAACTATCATATTCAGAATAAAGCATAAATTATACACACTGCAACTATTCTGACACATGGAATTGTTTTACTTCAAATTTCTGGTATTTGACCTAAATAACAACTCTACACCATCAATCAACTGTTCCCCATGAAAGCTCTTCTGACAATAGGAAGCTGTATGAGGTCAGGTGTGTGGTGGGGTGGGGTGGGGTGGGGAGGGATTGTCTGCCCACCTGCTGCTGCAGCTGATGCAGGTGCTTGTTCTATGCCCAGCTGACTCGGCTGCTGAGAGCTAGGCAGGATGCAGGTGCTTGTTCTATGCCCAGCTGACTCGGCTGCTGAGAGCTAGGCAGGATGCAGGTGCTTGTTCTATGCCCAGCTGACTCAGCTGCTGAGAGCTAGGCAGGATGCAGGTGCTTGTTCTATGCCCAGCTGACTCGGCTGCTGAGAGCTAGGCAGGATGCAGGTGCTTGTTCTATGCCCAGCTGACTCGGCTGCTGAGAGCTAGGCAGGATGCAGGTGCTTGTTCTATGCCCAGCTGACTCGGCTGCTGAGAGCTAGGCAGGATGCAGGCAGGATCCAGGCAGGAGCTGGTGTAAAAAAGAAAGAGTTGCAATGATGTTTGCTGTCAAGGTGGTATTTTACCAATGTAGAATGGGAGATAAAGGTTACAGTTTGCAGGGTTGTTTTTAGCGTGAGTAATGAGAGTCTGGATGAGAGATGAGCTGATTGTACGGGATAGATCTACACACCAACTGCAGTGGTTTTACACTTTTTGCCCAATCTATTCCAGTCCGTCTTTTTCTGTTGTTTCAAAAGTGCATGAACTGGTCTAGATTGATGTTCTGATTTATTGGCTGCGATGTCAGTAGATTGGTGGTTTGCCTGTCACGTGTACTTTGATTTCCCCATTTGTGCTATCTGAAAACCTTATCCTTTCATAGTACCACGACCTACATATCATTTAGGTCCGTGATGTTAAAAGTGGTGTGGGTATCATTGCTATGGAGAATTATGTATTAATCATAACATTTCTGAAGTCTGTGATCCTATATCACTAAAAGGCTTTGCTGTCACGTGAAGGATATAGTTTAAAGTGTTCCATCCTTGACACACCCGGTGCTGTGGAGATAAATCTGTGTTAAAATCTGAACTTACAGAGAGCTGAGATCACTTTATGTCTTCGGGCCTTGGTGCCAGAGTCCAAAGCAATCTTAGCGCTAAGGTGATCGTAACTCCCATACCTTAACATAGTCTACGGCAGTTGTAGCGCTAATGTTAGTTTTGTACAACGGGACCCAGGGCCACATGATCATGTTGTATGTATCTCACAGGGGTCAAACTTAATGAAGCAGCACCCAGTTAATGTTTGCTCGAACTCATTGCTCCATTGCTGCTGCCATTGGCTTTCTCAACCATGTGCATATGCCAAACCTGATATATACCTCATATATGCATCGGGGAAATTTTTCTGACATATGATTTGATGACATTGAAGGTCAAGGTCACTCTGCAAGACTGCATGATAGCATCTTAGTTGGTCCTGGGTGTCCGTGCAAGGTGCCTCCCATGTTTAGTGCCTGCACTGTATTATTTGGTATAGAAAGGATGTTCTAGGGAAATAGGAACATCGCCTGCTTTGTCTTTGCAACAAAATGTGCTTCATCCAAATGTATCCGGAGAAAATGTCCAGATTAAAGATTTTGGAATAACTGGTCCAGAATTATCTCCCTTGGTACATGTATGCATCTGCTGTTTCAGATGGCCCAGGAGGTGAACATCCTCCCCAGATCTGCTGAGTACGTCAACCCTTTCAAGACAGTCGACCCAAAGGTAAGGTCAAGGTCATTCATGGTTTACTTCAGATGAAGGCACCTTTAGGGATTGGAGTTGATCAGTTGTTCCCAGCGCTTCAGCCATAGACATTGGCACTAGTCCTGTAGTCCTTGCCAAACTGCTCAATAGTTAGGTATCATAAGGACTAGTAGACATTTGCCATCTTAAAGGGCTTTGATATATGTTATCATTGTAAGGACTAGTGGACCTAAAATGTTAGTTTCCACAGCTGCACTTGTTGGCTTTTTGCAAGAGGGGCTAAGTGGATCAAGTGTCCCGCTTGTGACTGTTGACTCTGTGTGGGCTACCCAGTCGTTGTGGGACGTGGATCAGTGGCGGGTTTGTGTGGTCCAGCCTGGCTTCTTCAAAGGTAGCCATTATATCGCTAGGATATTGTGGAACGACATTAGCAGATGAAGACGTTTGGTCAGGCTAGAGTGTGCAAGGCTTGAGTTTGACACAATTCAGTTTATTTCCTTTTCTTTTCAACAACCCACCTGAGAAGTGCGAAGTCTTGCCTGGTCAGTCTGAGTCTCAGTCCTGTCTTTGGACAGCAGTACCAGACATGAGACCAATCCAGATCCGGGTAGACAATAGGTCTTCAGCAACCCATGCATGCTGTAAGAGGCCACTATGCTTGTCATAAGAGGTGACTAACGGGATCGGGGGCTCAGGGTCTCTGACTTGGCTGATGCATGTCATTGTATCCTAATTGCATAGATCGATGCTCATGATATCAATCAATGGATTGTCTGGTCCAGACTCGATTATTTACCGACCTCTGTCATATAGCTGGCATGTATCTGAGTGCGGCGTTAAACAACAAACCAACCAACCAACCAACCAGCCAGAGATGATTGGAGAGGATGAATTGGAAAAATTGGAGTAAGGAAAAAACATCATTGACAAATGTCCTGAGCCTTACTTATATTTCTGTCAGAAACAACCTTAACATAAATCTCCCTTTCAGGAACAGAAGAAATTTGCAGAAGCAGTGAAAAAACAACTGAAGCCAAAAAAGAAGAAAAAGATTGTCCGGGGCCCTCGTATGTCTCACACGGAACTGTAGGGCACGCACTGCGGGGAGCTCGGGGCAGCCAACCAAAGTCATGGAGGCAGAGAAGCCACGCCTCCACTTGTTATCTTTGCTTTGATTTGTGGAAGATGTTTTACTTACTGAATGGGTGTGTGATGAGTGAAAGTCAATGAACACAGAATTCTGGATCATTAAATGGTTTTAATAACAGTTTCATGTGGTAATAACAAGAAATGGTATTGATTTCAGTTTATGTGCTAATATGCAGATGTTTATCCTGTGTTTATCAAGCATGTAAGACTTGTACTGTCAAGGAGCTTGGTGTCCAAGTCATTCATTGCTATTACCTACAACAAATTCCAGAAAGCCAATCAAAGAAACCATGTCAGTCCAATATAATCCTGTATTTAGTAAACTTCCTGACTACATCCAATGACATGTACATGTAAGCAGTTATTATCTGGTAATGATGTATTTATAAACATCTAGAAAATGTCACAGCAGTGAGGACAGATTGACATGTAGGACAGCTTCTTTTATTCCTGCATTTCAGCTTCTGTACTTTTGATTTCCACAGCACAGGTACAAATACCTTTATCCAGCTGTAAACCCATGAAGATCAGGGTTAGAATAGGTCTTCAGCAACTCATGCTTGACGTAAGAGTCGACTATGCTTGTCATAAGAGGCGACTAACGGGACTGGGTGGTTTTTCTCAATTATACAGACCGCCATCATATAGCTGGAATATTGCTGAGTTGGGTGGTAAACAACAAACAAATCCAGCTGTTTCACTTGATGGTACTGGTACCGGTACCTGGAAAATGTCACAGTCGAGAGAAAAAAGCAATGGTGAACAAAAGAAGTTGGACTTCGTGTCTGTATAAACTAAGGGACCTTTTCGTATTATTGGGGGACAGGCTTGAAAAGAGTGATTTGTCATTAGGATTTACCAAAACAAATAATTGTTTGCTGAACATGCTAGAAATAATGAAGTCTTCCCTGAATAATTGGCTCTGCCGATCAGAGGAATAAATTGTCTTGAAGCACTAACTGTAAAATATTCTGTCTCTGACAAAATTACCAGCCCCCTCTCAACAATATGAAATGATCGGTCACCTATGCAGGTTCTGTATTCTAGACTTAATCCGCCATCATATGTGTCTGTCAGGATGTCTGACTGTTGTGTGGACGTAATCCGCCATCACATGTGTCTGTCAGGATGTCTGACTGTTGTGTGTCAGGATGTCTGACTGTTGTCTGTCAGGATGTCTGACTGTTGTCTGTCAGGATGTCTGACTGTTGTGTGGACGTAATCCGCCATCACATGTGTCTGTCAGGATGTCTGACTGTTGTGTGGAAGGATGTCTGACTGTTGTGTGGAAGGATGTCCGGCAGGGCAGCTGGGATGGAACATTATGGCCATCGTATCAGCATAGTAGTCTGTGTTTGGGGGTGACGGTTCTCATCCTTTTTATAATGGGTTGCTTCTTCAGAACATAAGTTTGATGTTGACATTTTGTATGTACATTCTCGTATCTTTACCTCATAATTGACCTTTATGGCAAAGAATAATCGGAAAGAGAAAGGTGGGATGACATTGCATGTCTGACCTCAAGATGAATTTAGTGGTTACCGAGGAATGTGGATATGATTGATGAAGTTCCTTGTGATGAGACGTGGAAGAGTTAGCAGGTGACCTGTTGTTATCTTGTTACTGTTAGACATTTGCCATCTCCAACCTCATTGCCCTCGTACTTACTCCCAGTTATAGTTCATATCTTGTTACAGAAATGGCTTTTTTGTATTAACTTGTTATCTGTGCATCTGACATTTCGACATTGACTAGTTAGCTGTGTGTCTGTGACTTGTTGACTTGTTAGCAGTGTGTCTGTGACTTGTTGACTTGTTACCCGTGTGTCTGTGACATGTTGACTTGTTAGCTGTGTGTCTGTGACATGTTGACTTGTTAGCTGTGTGTCTGTGACTTGTTGACTTGTTAGCAGTGTGTCTGTGACTTGTTGACTTGTTACCCGTGTGTCTGTGACATGTTGACTTGTTAGCTGTGTGTCTGTGACATGTTGACTTGTTAGCTGTGTGTCTGTGACTTGTTGACTTGTTAGCAGTGTGTCTGTGACTTGTTGACTTGTTACCCGTGTGTCTGTGACATGTTGACTTGTTAGCTGTGTGTCTGTGACATGTTGACTTGTTAGCTGTGTGTCTGTGACTTGTTGACTTGTTAGCAGTGTGTCTGTGACTTGTTGACTTGTTACCCGTGTGTCTGTGACATGTTGACTTGTTAGCAGTGTGTCTGTGACATGTTGACTTGTTAGCAGTGTGTCTGTGACATGTTGACTTGTTAGCTGTGTGTCTGTGACATGTTGACTTGTTAGCAGTGTGTCTGTGACATGTTGACTTGTTAGCAGTGTGTCTGTGACATGTTGACTTGTTAGCAGTGTGTCTGTGACATGTTGACTTGTTAGCAGTGTGTCTGTGACATGTTGACTTGTTAGCAGTGTGTCTGTGACATGTTGACTTGTTAGCAGTGTGTCTGTGACATGTTGACTTGTTAGCTGTGTGTCTGTGACATGTTGACTTGTTAGCTGTGTGTCTGTGACATGTTGACTTGTTAGCAGTGTGTCTGTGACATGTTAACTTGTTAGCTGTGTGTCTGTGACATGTTGACTAGTTAGCAGTGTCTGTGACATGTTGACTTGTTAGCTGTGTGTCTGTGACATGTTGACTTGTTAGCTGTGTGTCTGTGACATGTTGACTTGTTAGCAGTGTGTCTGTGACATGTTAACTTGTTAGCTGTGTGTCTGTGACATGTTGACTAGTTAGCAGTGTCTGTGACATGTTGACTTGTTAGCAGTGTCTGTGACATGTTGACTTGTTAGCAGTGTGTCTGTGACATGTTGACTTGTTAGCAGTGTCTGTGACATGTTGACTTGTTAGCAGTGTCTGTGACATGTTGACTTGTTAGCAGTGTGTCTGTGACATGTTGACTTGTTAGCTGTGTCTGTGACATGTTGACTTGTTAGCAGTGTCTGTGACATGTTGACTTGTTAGCTGTGTGTCTGTGACCTGTTGACTTGTTAGCTGTGTGTCTGTGACATGTTGATTTTTTAGCAGTGTCTGTGACATGTTGACTTGTTAGCAGTGTGTCTGTGACATGTTGACTTGTTAGCAGTGTGTCTGTGACATGTTGACTTGTTAGCAGTGTGTCTGTGACATGTTGACTTGTTATCTGTGTGTCTGTGACATGTTGACTTGTTAGCAGTGTGTCTGTGACATGTTGACTTGTTAGCAGTGTGTCTGTGACATGTTGACTTGTTAGCTGTGTGTCTGTGACATGTTGACTTGTTAGCTGTGTGTCTGTGACATGTTGACTTGTTAGCAGTGTGTCTGTGACATGTTAACTTGTTACCCGTGTGTCTGTGACATGTTGACTTGTTAGCTGTGTGTCTGTGACATGTTGACTTGTTAGCAGTGTGTCTGTGACATGTTGACTTGTTAGCTGTGTGTCTGTGACATGTTGACTTGTTAGCTGTGTGTCTGTGACATGTTGACTTGTTAGCTGTGTGTCTGTGACATGTTGACTTGTTAGCTGTGTGTCTGTGACATGTTGACTTGTTAGCAGTGTGTCTGTGACATGTTGACTTGTTAGCTGTGTGTCTGTGACACGTTAACTTGTTAGCTGTGTGTCTGTGACATGTTGACTTGTTAGCTGTGTGTCTGTGACATGTTAACTTGTTAGCTGTGTGTCTGTGACATGTTGACTTGTTAGCAGTGTGTCTGTGACATGTTGACTTGTTAGCAGTGTGTCTGTGACATGTTGACTTGTTAGCTGTGTGTCTGTGACATGTTGACTTGTTAGCTGTGTGTCTGTGACATGTTGACTAGTTAGCTGTGTGTCTGTGACATGTTGACTAGTTAGCTGTGTGTCTGTGACACGTTAACTTGTTAGCAGTGTGTCTGTGACATGTTAACTTGTTAGCTGTGTGTCTGTGACATGTTGACTAGTTAGCAGTGTCTGTGACATGTTGACTTGTTAGCAGTGTCTGTGACATGTTGACTTGTTAGCTGTGTGTCTGTGACATGTTGACTTGTTAGCTGTGTGTCTGTGACATGTTGACTTGTTAGCTGTGTGTCTGTAACATGTTGACTTGTTAGCTGTGTGTCTGTGACATGTTGACTTGTTAGCAGTGTCTGTGACATGTTGACTTGTTAGCTGTGTGTCTGTGACATGTTGACTTGTTACCTGTGTGTCTGTGACATGTTGACTTGTTAGCAGTGTCTGTGACATGTTGACTTGTTAGCAGTGTGTCTGTGACATGTTGACTTGTTAGCAGTGTCTGTGACATGTTGACTTGTTAGCAGTGTCTGTGACTTGTTGACTTGTTAGCAGTGTGTCTGTGACATGTTGACTTGTTAGCTGTGTCTGTGACATGTTGACTTGTTAGCAGTGTCTGTGACATGTTGACTTGTTAGCTGTGTGTCTGTGACATGTTGACTTGTTAGCTGTGTGTCTGTGACATGTTGACTTGTTAGCAGTGTCTGTGACATGTTGACTTGTTAGCTGTGTGTCTGTGACATGTTAGCTGTGTGTCTGTGACATGTTGACTTGTTAGCTGTGTGTCTGTGACTTGTTAGCTGTGTGTCTGTGACATGTTGACTTGTTAGCTGTGTGTCTGTGGCATGTTGACTTGTTAGCTGTGTGTCTGTGACATGTTGACTTGTTAGCTGATGTCTGTGACATGTTGACTTGTTAGCTGTGTGTCTGTGACATGTTGACTTGTTAGCTGTGTGTATGTGACATGTTAACTTGTTACCCGTGTGTCTGTGACATGTTGACTTGTTATCTGGGTGTCTGACATGTTGACTTGTTAGCTGTGTGTCTGTGACATGTTGACTTGTTAGCTGTGCGTCTGTGACATGTTGACTTGTTAGCTGTGTCTGTGACATGTTGACATTTGACTGTGTGTTGTTGGCAGTGTGAGAGGTTACTCCTCATTTGATTCACACACATCATACCTGTCCATTCTTCGTGTAGCCTTAAGGTGGGATGGTCCAGTGGTTAATGTGTTGGCTCATCATTCCGGGTTTGTGTCTGAACATGGGTAAAATGTGTTAACCCCACACTTGGTGTCCCCTGCAGTGATGTGGTTGTAACAATGCTAAAAGTGGCATAAACCAACCTACCTCACTCACTCACTCACTCACTCTCTAGATTGTTATAACATTCTGACATCTGCTTTAGTGTTGGCTCTCCACAGACCCAAAACATATGCTGCAGATTGTATTTCATTCGAAATCATATTAGATACATCATACAGACTTTGTCAACTTATATTTCAGAGGACATAAGAAAATAATTAATTTTAATGGAGCTAACTAGAAGCACATGCTATGTTACTTGAAAATTAAATAAAATTTAAGCTTTTTATCAAATGACCTTGAAATTCATGTAGTATGAATAACCAAAGTGTTTTGGAACATTTTGTTTTTATCAACTGAGAGTTTTTGTATCATATAGGGAAATGTGTGACGAGAATATTTTTGTTTTTTTCAGTTGAATATTTGTAGTTGGTATGCAGTTGGATAAAATTGGGTGAAATGTAGGCCTGTATTTTATGTAGTGCTGAGAAAATACATGTTTTAAGTTAGCTAGTGCAGTAGCATTAGGAGTTCCCTGTCTTGTTCAGCCCTCATGTATGGCGTTGTTACAGCCACTGTTGTCATCTTGTCACCATGTGTGTGAGTGAGTTGGGTTTAACACCACTTGGAACAGTATTCCAGTTATAGCACGGCGTGTCAGCTTCCTGTGGGAAGAAACCTGGAAGTGATGCCAGAAGGTCTCAGACATATACCACCTTGGTGACACCCACGAGGACGGGTATGCTGCTGACAAACCTAGAAACATAATCAGGTGTGTGATTTGAACTGTATGTGTCTGGGGTATGGTTACAGCAGCCAGTTGTCTTCAATCTATGCACATCTTCACTCACTTCATATCTATGCACAGATTTGTTATGTTTTCATTGGTCAAACCAGTTTATTTTCTTGTTTTACAAATCGTTTTAGTCATCATGAAAAAAATAATAAACGTATCCTGTGCCAATATGAGGTAAATTTGCTTTAACTTTTGAGGTAGGATTTTTAGCAAGATATATTTAAGATTAAACATTACCTTTTTTCTTTCTTTTTTTACAAAGGTAGGGTAGGTTTTATGTAAAACAAGACAATAAATGTATATGGCCTGGTTGTTATGGTAACGTGATACACAGCCTGTGATGCATCGTTATGCAATATATGGTTGTATATCCCAGTTAGGGGTTATTGCTGTACCATCTACTGTTGTATATTCTGTTTGTGTTTGAATGGACATCTGTACCAACAAACCAATAGAAAACCTTCAATGTCAAATACATTGAATCGTGATGCATTTGTATCACAGTACATTGAATCTTGATACATTTGAATCACAGTACATTGAATCTTTTTATCACAATACATTGATACATTTGTATCACAGTACATTGAATCTTGACACAATACATTTTAGATGAGCCACCTGTTACTGATGTTTGAATTGTAATCATTTTATCATGTTTGTAGAAACGCGTATTGCTGGGTAGATAGACATTCTAGTGGCCATGCTAGGTGATTAGCTTGATGTTAGTCTAGACTAGGAAGCTAGTGGTAGTACTCACGACTGTCATGGACCGATCTGTCACCTCATGATTGATGAAATTTAGTAACTTTGAAAAATATTCTGTTGTCAATATGACCGAGATTCATTACTCAAGAAACACTGTTTTGTAAGAATTATGTATAACATATTAAAATAATTTGAACTATTAGGCAGACTTATTTCTCAGATTGTTGCAAGAGGATAATATTCATAATATTCTGTTTAATGCGTCTAAATAATTGAGAATGTTGTCTTTGAATTGTGGCGTTATGTTTCACAAGATATGTATGAAATGAGGTAATAACGAGTTTCTTGCTATTACTGTGAAGCATGCTTCAAGTGACCGGGTCCTCATTTCACAGAGGGAAGCCTTCATCAGGTCTTGGATCTCATGATTGTTGTTAAATTACCTTATGAATGATTAGTTGAGAAATGTTGTTACATGTTGATAGTTCTGTGAGTGAAGCCGTTTGATATACCTGAGATGTGAGAGCAGTGTGAAGATTTGATATGTTTTTGAACTGATGTTTGATTCTAGTCAGATTGCGATCCAGGAAAGATGAACTTTGAATGCTGGCTCAATAACTTGCTACAAGAATGTGAATGAATGTCCTGCTAATGTCCAACATATCAAAACCAGAATGAAACTATTATGGTCTGTTTACTTGCAATACTAACAAGCATTTATTGGGATATATATGTAACATGAACCTAAACAACGACCATCTATGTCCATATATATATGTATATAATCAGACTTGGAGAGTAGCAGGTGCTTGTCGAGAACCTTTGT